TATATATATATATATATATATATATATATATATATATATATATATATATATATATATATATATATATATATATATATATATATATATATTACATGTGTATATATATATATATATATATATATATATATATATATATATATATATATATATATACACCAGTAATAAAAGTAATTTTTCGGTAGACGCTCAAAAGTAGAGCAAATATATATATTTGCAAATATATATATATATATATGTATATATATATATATATATATATATATATATATATATATATATATATATATATATATATATATATATATATATATATATATTAGAAAAACAAAATGAAAGAAATACTAAGAATCTAAACTAATTACAAACTATTATTTAATAATATTTATTTTTATAATTAAAAAAATAAGTAAACAAAATAATTAAATACTTCTAAAAATTAAAGTATAATTTACCTATAATTTCGTTATTGTGATAATTTTCTATAATTTATGCATATAATATATGCAAATTATAAACTCATAAATTTGTAATTTGTTTATTAAATTCATTATATTTAATTGTGATAAATAGTTTTATCAGCATTTGAATAACTAATATTACATAAAGTTACCTAAATGTATTTTGATTTTAGGATTCTGGATCTCGTAGCCCTATTATGAATGCTACTTATCGTCCGTTAGTTACTGGTTATCCGTTTGTTGACTTTTCTCAAACCTCGTATGAACTCGAAAGTCAAAGAGAAGCACCTGCCGAACATTTTGTAAATGAGCCGCGAATATTAAATTTTTAATTTAAAAAAAAAATTAAAGCTATTGTTATTGTAATTAACTTTTTAATATTATTTTTTGATGTTTGATTCTTGGTTTCTAAAAATATAAAAAGCTTTTATTTTAAGAAATTTGATTGTCGTATTATCATATGCCGTAACCATAGTATTTTACGTAAAGGAAAATTACTTAATCTTTTTTAAGTTTTAAACATTGCGTCAATTGGAATCAAATGAAAGTACCGTTATTTTTAGAAAATCCGAACAGGATGTTGCTTTCCAGCAAACAAGCCCAATTTTTAGTAATTTATAATTTGTTTATGACTTTAGCTAACAGTTTTCTACAGGCAATGGTAATATGAAATCACTATAAATAAATTTAAATATCGTTTGTAATCGTGAGAGTACGCATCGATATGCTATAAAAACTCTTGTAGATAACATTTATTTTATGCCTTAAAATTATTTTAATGAGATATTTGTATTTAAATTTTTTTACGATGCTTGTATTATAAAATAAAAAAATATTCATAAGTCAATTTAGTTTTTTAGACTTGAAACGGCTTGGTGTGTTATGAGGTTCCCCAAGAAACAATTTTTAATTTTTTCATAGTATTTCTTGAGTAAAATTTTATTATTTTTAAAATGATATATGGATCATAATTACTTGATATATATAAAGTCTTTTATTTCTTATTTTTATATATTTGATATATATAAATGCTTATTTTTATAGGTTGTTGTAGTAGAATTTTTTTAATTTAGTTTCAGACAAAAACTCATATTTTCATGTTTGTGGTCTTTTAAGATTTTGAAACACGTTAAACTCAATATTGATAGATGGAATCAGCTGAAATTTAAGGAAGAACTTATTTTCATATCCATTGTTGGTTTTTTCCTTTTTTTCAGTTTAATAACATCAATTTTTACTATTTATCTAAGTAACTCAAGGTCTTTAACACCTAACACAACGCTTGGTTTTTGTTACGTGTTTAAAACCTAAAGCAAAAAGAATAACACGTGCCAAGAATGAATTCCTATTAACTATTATTCTTTATTATATACTGAAGTATATAGTTTTAACGTTATTTATTAATAACAAATAACGCCAAAACTATAGTAATGTTATAAAATATAATATAATAAATTATCATAGTAAGAAACTGTATTGTTTTTATTCCATTTCTTTCGGCTATAGATTTTATGTTTTGCAAAATATTTTATTATTATTTTTAATTTTTTTAGTTATACAAAAAAATGAATAGCCTCATAGCAGAGAACCTGCTTTAAAATAGTATTTAAAATAGCACTCACTGTTTCCACTCTTACGGTTAACTATGTTGACGTTTTAAGTTTCATGCTGCTGATAACGTTGTAATTATTGCACCTTATTTTTATAAGGGATGAAATTTAAAGAATCTTTAAACTTCATCAAAATATTTTAATAGGGTTAAGGCAGCTAAAATTATTTTTTTTTTTTTTTTTTTTTTTTTTTTAGTATTTGAAAGAACGTTTATAACGTATTTTTGTATTTAAATTAATGTTTATAAATTATATTCAGACAGTTCCAACCTTTAAAAAGAGTTTTTTTTAATTATTGGTTGAAAAAAAAAATTTTTTTATCCTTGCGCATTTGATTTTAATCTTTTGGTTTAAAATACTTTAGTTTAAGTAAATAAACGTTTTTTTTTTTTGTCAAAACATTTATTTGTAATAAATGTAATATTGCTAATCTATGTGAAGCGCTCTTTGATACGTGGTAGATTAAATACATTTTTGACGTCAGGTTAGAAGGTGGAAAAAACACTTGAAACAGTTCAATTAATGTAGAAAAACATAATTGAGACAAATAAAGTTTGTTGTAAAAATAAAGGCACGACAAAAAAAATAATAATAAAAATAAAATTAATGACACGACAAAAAAAAAGACAAAAGAATAAATAAAAATATCTTAACTAATGGATTATAGTAATAAAAAAGTTTCAAACGGTAAAAACATCATTTCTTTATGCTTTTAGTGTGAAACTTTTAGTATGAAACGTGATTCTGACCCAACCATACTTTCTGAATTTATCATACAATCATCTCCTAGAGATGTTAGTGTCAACGTTCAAATTTTGAGGTGTTCTAAAAGTTATTGACATGTCCGAAACGAGTTTTTGTTTTTGACATGTATTGACATGTCTACAAAAATTTCTTTGGAAATTCTTTAGCACAACAACAGTTTAAACTTTCTTATAAAAAAATTCACAAATTTAACTTACTGTCTTTATTTACCAATAAAACTTGTTTTGATATAGCAAGTAATTTTGGCCTACCAAACAATTTTACCTTTAAGGTATTTCATAAACAACTTGGTAAAATATTTAATTTTCAAGTTTAAAAAGTTACGTTTAGAAACTTAAATTATTTCTACAAATTCATATTTATAAAAAATAAATTAATAAAATTCAAATTAAATAAATTAAAAATGTTTTATTTTAAACGTGATTTATGTTTTTAATGTTATAAACTATATAAAATAGCAATAAAACATGACAAGTTTGTTCTAACTCCTAAAATATTCATAAGTAAATTTAATAAAAATTTAAATGAGAAGTTTTTCTTAAAAATAAATCAAAGTAACACATAAATTACCTAAAAAAGTAAACAAATACACAGAATATAGTATAACTTATAGAGGTCCCAAGCTATGGAACTCTTTTTTGAAAGACAATTTAAATATGGCAAAATCTTTAACTTCATTACAGTTTCAAACAAAAACTTACGTTCTAAATCTTACGGATTAATTTTTATTTTTGTTTACAAAAATTTTTTTTTAGCCTTTTATCTGATTATTTAACAGTTTGTATTTTTAAATATTATATGTAATCTTTATATATTATATGTGGAATATAATATCATATATTTAATTGGAAATTTTTATTTAAATATATTCTTTTATAACTTTTTGTGACTATTAGTATTTATTAATATTATATCTTTTTAACTAAATATATATATATATATATATATATATATATATATATATATATATATATATATATATATATATATATATATATATATATATATATATATAAATATATTTGTATATATATTTATATATATATATATATATATATTTTTTACTATATGTTCTTTATTCACTATATGTATTTTTAAATATTATATCTTCTTTTTCGACTAATTGAGGGTGTTTTTACTTTTAATTGATACACCTACTTTTTTCTCTATTTTTATTCTTAAATATTATATCTTCTTATATCTTTAAATATTATATCTTCTTATATCTATTACTTATTTTTTTTCCTAAATTTTCTACTTGATTTATTAACCATATATTACCATATATTATTGTTATGATCTGTAGGGGCTCTATGAAGAGATTGGGTTGGTATTTTGTCATCCAAATCTTCTTTGAGCCCCTGACTGTTTATTACTTGTACATTTGTAATTATATTTCATTTTTGGTTAAAGGAAATTGTAATTTATATAAACAGCAAAAAAAAAAAATTTAAAAAAAAAAATATATATATTAAAACAAGTTTTTTATATTGACAAAACAACCTCACAGTATTGTTTTATTGTTGTTTTATACAGCATTTTACAAGAACAGTTTAAATCGCTTAGAAAATAAAACGTGTTTATCTTCTCTATGAATTAAAATAAAACTTAATGAGAAAATCATAGATTCATGATTAAAGTTTTAAAGAAACTCATTTAAAAAAAAAACATATGCTTATCTTATATATATATATATATATATATATATATATATATATATATATATATATATATATATATATATATATATATATATATATATATATATATATATATACATATATATATATATATATATATATATATATATATATATATATATATATATATATATATATATATATATATATGTATATATATATATATATATATATGTATATATATATATACATATATATATATATACATATATATATATATATGTATATATATATACATATATATATATATACATATATACTGTTCTCAATATACTGTTTTACGAGTATATTGAGCACTCTATTTGTAGAATACACTAACATGATATATATATATATATATATATATATATATATATATATATATATATATATATATATATATATATATATATATATATATATATATATATATATATATATATATATACCTGATCGTTATTAAGAAATCAAAGAACGCGGGATTTCGTAGAAGATACACACATATATATATAGTGTATAAGTTTCCGGCCAGTTATATTTTGTAAATAAAAAAATGGCTAAAGGTTTTTAATTTCTATAGGATGGTAGTATGAAATAAAGGAAACATGATAATATAGTAAAAGAATGTTATTTATATTTGTGAAAGTTTTATTGTTATAATTGTTATGTTTACACGTGCAAATGTTTACGTGCTGGCTACAAATTGTCAAAAGATTACCTAACATGGACATTTAAAGACTGGAAAAAAGTAGTTTTCTCAGACAAATTTAAACTTTATCTTTTTGGAAGCGATGGCAGACAACATCTAATTAATGCGAGAAATGACGTTCGTTACCGAATTTTAACTATAAAACATAGTGGAGAATGTGTGATGGTTTGGGAATTTTCTCTGTGCAAGGAATCTGTCCATTGGTTTAGATCAAAAGAAATATGAACGCTTATATTTACAAGGACATTTTAGAAAACAATTTGTTTTTTTATGCTGAAGAAAATATGCCGCAAAATTGGATATTTCAGCAATACAATGACCCCAAATACACATCCATATTGTTAAAACAGTGGTTTACGACTTCAAATTGAGAGTTTTAAGATGGCCGTCTCAATCACCTGACTTGAACATAATAGAAAACTTATGGGAAGCGCTAGATTGTCAAGTTCAAAAGCATTCATATTCATATAAAGCCTCATTATTCAAATTATTGAAAGAAAAAAGAGATAAAAGCTCATATTCTTGTTTTAATCGATTAATTGACACGGTCGTTCAGACTTACTAAATTATTATAAGCAAGCG